TATATTATATATATATTTAACATTTTTATAATAATAATAACTGATTATCTTCAAATTTTGGTGGACAAAAACATTATATAAATTTATTATTTTCACGATTATATTCTTGAAATTTGTTGAATCGTCTTTAAATCTTTTATATGTTTATATAGTTAATAAAAAAAATATTACCTTAAATTTTATGACAATACATTTTGTAAGTATTATTTTAATGTGTATAATATTCAATGTAATTTTATAATTGTTTATATATGAATATAAGTAAATAAATCAACTATAATATTTTAACTATTTAGGTAATAATACCTATTACTAGATTTCTATAATAAAAAATGAAACAAATTGCAACTATAAGATATGAAACTAGGTTTTTCTTCTTCTTTTTTTTTATTATAAAATAATGACCTTTTGCACTCATCTATCTAATCTACTTATACAATATTTATAAGTAGGTTAAACATAAGAAGTTTTATGATACAATTATCAGTTGTTTATAATAATGTTGTTTATAAAGATGTACACTGAAATTAAATTTTTGATTTTTATGTATTATTAGCCTTAAACTATTAAATACTTCTATAATTTTTTAAAAATTCTTAAAGAGCTAACCATAAAAAAATATTGTAAGATATAAAAATTAATTACTTTTAATATAAATTAAAAGAAATGTATATGTCAATACTAATAAATTTTTGTATACATATAGGTTAAAGAATTGACAACTGTGGTTGATGCTATGATGAGTTCCAATGTAGGAAGTTTTGAAATTAATACAAATATGGACAAAGAAGTTACTGAATCAGAGATTATAAGCGATACATGTAATAACACAGATTACATACATGTAAAGTGTGATGAACTTGTTAAAAATAAGTGCTTTGTACTTTGTAACAAGAGCAATAGTGATGTGAATTCAAGTGAAAATCAATCTTTAGAAGGTAATACTACTAGTGATCCTCCTGAACAGGAATTAGAGCATATGTTATATGAAGAATCACAAGATTTTGAAACTAATGTAGAGCAAACTAATACATTATTTTCAGTAGGAAATTCTACAAAATTAATGGGAAATTCAACCATATTTACAAATGGTAAAACAAAGGAGGAACCAAATGGGTACTCTGAAAATAGAATATTAAATAGTGATACATTGTGTACAAATAATGAATTAAAACCTATATTATATGAACAATGCTGTGATCTTTCAGATATTGATGAGTGTGAAGAGAGTTCTATGTCATTATCACAATCTTGCCTTCAACAAATTGAAAAAGACTTCGCACAATATAAATTTGAAGGTATTGATGTTCCTAGTAAAGTAGGAAAATGTGTTAAAGTTTACACTCATAAGAGACGAAAATCTATAGATGAAATAAAAAATATGCTGACAGATGTGAATAATATAATTCAAAACCCACCATCTACTGATTGTATAGACTTATTGGATGAGCCGTCCACTGACGATATACCAGTTACACTTTTAACCTCATTAGATATGGAAAGTGCTGAGTATATTATAAGTTTAAGTACTGAAAATATTCAATCTATAGTAGGAGCTACTTTAACTGAACAGCATACATTAAATACATGTAAAGAAATAGAACAAATTATTGAATATAATACTGAAAAAACTAGTGTAAATGAAATAGAATCAAGTAATGCAAACACTGAAACTTCTAATTGTACAAAACCAATACTACGAAGAAGTCTGCGATTAAACCAGCAGGAAATAGAAGAAACTATGAATAATAATGAAACTGTTAAGGATTTTAATGAAAAAGAAAAACATTTTAAAAAATCAAATTTCACAAATAGAACAGAACTATGTATTAAAAGGAAACGTAAAATAAAAGACATAGATCGTAAAGTTTCAGAACAAAGTATTAATAATGTAATGCAACCCATTAGGAAGACATTTAACAATTCTCGTAGAAATACTACAAAGTTAATTGTTAAAAAGAATACTAAATGTACAATACCTAATAAAGAAAAGGATGAACAAACAGGTAAAATAGCAAATAAGTTGAAATGTGACATATCAGAAACCACAGAAATTGATTCCATTTTTACATCATCCAAATTAAATACAATAGAGCACATAAATCGTGCATTATGGGGTGATATGTCAGATTTTGCAGAAGACTATGAAAATAGAATAAATTTTTTGGATTGCACACCAAATACAGAAATTCCATTTGCTGTTGGCTTATTACCTTTACGTACTGCTTTGGAAAAAATGCAAGCAACACCAGATTATCAACCTCGCAAAACTCGTTCATCAGTAGCACCAACAAGACAAGACACTAATACTCTTAAAAGAAAGAATTGTACTCATTTCGGTAAAGTTACAGATTCTAAAAAACAGAGTACTTATATTAATGATCCAAAAGAAAATGCAAAAGCAGTTTGTCATATTCAGATCAGAACAGCACCATCGCAGTATGTACGTACTCGTAAAAAATATCTTTCCACGGATGTAAATACGTTGGAACCGACGACTCTTATCAATAAACATTAATAGGTATTATACAAGTCATACAAAAAGAAGTAATATGAGAATAATAACTCAAAATAATATTCTCAAATGTGAATATCAAAGGAAATAACAAAATGCGAAATTTTATGCATGTAATTTTATATTTTAAAAACATATTTTTAATATGAAACTACTTGTACATAAAAACATAGATATGAAAAAAGAATATGCGATAAACTATGTTTATGTAGTTCTTTGATTTCTGCAAGAAATCAAGATATATTTTTTTTATTGTTTGGCCATATTTTTTAATTTATATTAAACGTTTCTATACGTGTATTAAATACTACTATAAAAGTAAATACAAATTTTTTTTATTGGGAAGAGAAATATTAATATAAAATAGCTATAAAATAATATTTTTGTTTATTACATTTTTATATATAAAATTTCATGTGTATTAAATAGTATTTGAGGTAAGATCATTGACAAATCTGTACTCTACTTTGTTAAGGTTATAGAAAGAAATAAAGTTTTTTTATTGTAAATATTTTGAAATGGAAACGTGTTATACATTTAGTGCACGTATGGACACGCGCGCGCGCGCGCACACACACACACACACAAAATGTTTATACACATAGTGATTTATTTTGTTTTTTTTCAAGATCATGCTCATTTTGCTTAACAATGTATATAAATATTTGAAAATCTTAATCTCTTATTTTTAAGCAAACATTTTCTTTTCATCTTCTTTCTTTAGTGTGTGGAAAATACATACATATCACTGATATTACTGTAAATGTCCCTTAATATGCAATAATGCGATTTGTTACTGATATCTTTAGGAAATCTTATATATTTTATATGATTTATTTATACTTTTATTCATCACTATATTTTTTAACCCTCTAAAACTAGAATTTTATTTGTGTTCAAGAAAAAAATTATAATTAACTAGGATTAAAGATCCAATTACTGTCACTTTATGTAATTAATTGAATCTGCTGTTATTGCATAATTTTTGTATATATTGACCAAAAGCATAAGTTTTTCTTTTTATTTTTTAATATTATTATTTAATATGTTCAATTACAAAAAATAATTTTGTAACTTAATATCTAAATATTTATTTATAAATTTAATGATTAAAAAATATATTTTGGAAGCTATTACTGCCATCATTAAAATGTGTTCAATCTTATTGCTAACACTCAAATTGTTGAAAATCACATATTATTATCTCATTTATTATCATTTCCTTTTCTTTTCACAATTGCTTTTTTGCATTCAGGATTAAAAATATTAATATTTTATTGTTTTGAAACATGTACATACATTAATCATAAATTTAAATAACATTCTTAAATTTCTTTAGTTTCTTATTTTGTTTTATAGATAATTAAATGTTTGTATTTACGACAATAAATGTTTATAGTTTCCAAATAAATTAAATATTTATTTTAAACATAGCAATTGTTATTTATTATATAGCTAACAGTGAGAGTGTCAAATTTTGTTTACCATAACAACTACTTCCATGACAGTAATTAAAAAATGCTTGGAACACATATCAATAATTTTTAACACGAATATTAAATAAAGAAACTTAATTAATTGTTTAATTATGTTTAATCATTTAATATCAATAGGTTAAGTGTTACAATTACAGCTTTTTCTGTAGTTACATGTATTCTTTTTCCCTAGTAGGGAAGCTGTTATTTTAATTCTTTTAATCAGTGTAAACTTTCAAATCCTTTCATAAAAATGAAAAACAGAAAAATTAAATGCTGTATTTCCTATTGTGTAAATTATACTTTTAATTTTATACTAAATTTGTGTACGATTTCACAGGGTGTATTTGTTATTTTTAATAAAAATAACGTAAGGTAATAATCATTTGATAAGTGGCAGTAATGGAGTTTTTTTACCAATCATTTTTTATTTTCATTTCAAATATAGAAGCTGATAATTATTATAAATAGTTTGTTAGTATCAGTATTATAGTATGCTAACAAAATTCAAGAATACAAAAATACAGTGATAAGCAAATAAAGTAAAATTTACGTATATAATTGTATATATGCAATTTGAAAGTTATATGTCGTTATAGAGGGTTAATATCTTTGTTTCATGATATATTTTATAATACTTTAGTAGTAATAAGTAAATTAAATCATAGTAACCCAGTGTAATAATTTGTGCTATAAAAGCAGTAACTGTGAAACCTCAAAATTACAAATTGAATGATAGTCACATATGTACTTTTTCTAATAAGCTATTTTTTAATAAGCAATTAAATCCCAAAAAAAAGAATTATTTGTATTTATACATTGTTCACAGTATTTTGAAATATAAACAGTTACTGCACATTGTAATATAAATGGATTGTTTATTGCAATAATATACAAATATTTTTTACATAAATTTATGTATACATATATATTGATAAAGAAATATATATATTTTTTTCCTAATAAACATTTTTGGTGTATAATTGCTGTATCTTTTAAGTTTCTACTACTATTTTTATTGCTTTTTTATTCTATCAGATTATATTTCCATGGATAAAACAATTTTATAAAATTATAGCGAAATAAGAAAAAGAATTGCGCAATTATATTCGTGTATTTTATATTCTTGTTATTAAATGTTTTTATTATTTTATAGATTATATATAATATTATATATTGTATGAATAATCATAATAAGGAACTGTAATCAGTACAGAACATATGATATATTCAATATGCTCTTGACACTGCGCAGAGGACGAAAACGGATTAAAGAAAGAGAGCCATGTTTATTTATAACTAGTAATTTGATTGGCCGTGTAATATACACTATGATACATATACAATCGATATGAGTAAAGTGCAATTCTCGTTAACGTAGTTCTCTAATTTTTAATGTATTAAAAGAAATTAATGAAGTACGAAGCAGTAAATTACTTTGTTAGATTAAATATCTCAGAACATATTGAAATGCATGTATTGATAAACACGTTTGATTGAAGAAATTAAAATACTGAAATTTTTAATATCCATACACATCAATTTTCATTTAAATAATCTTATTAATCACAATTCTTTATTTTCGAGAAGCACATTCACAATAATATATCTGATTATGTGTACTAATATACAATCTATATTATACATGATCATTGACGAATTACAATCACTTCCTATGTCATATGGAAAATGTTTTCAATAGTTTCACCTAAATATGAATATTATTTTAATAAAAATACCCTATAGAATATATTTTATAATTCCTAATGTTATTTACGATAGAAATACTGATTCTACAATATTATATTTTCAATATAAAATTTTAATATAATTTTAACACTTATGAATACGGTAAATGATACTTAAAAAAAACGTATTAAAATAAATGACTGTTTAAATAATTTGAAACGTTTTCCTACAAAATTATGCTTTCCGACAAATGTTAGCATCACTAAATGGTAAGATGCATTAAACTTACACGAATTTTTCGTACATAACGTATGGTGATCGATGAAACAGGTAATTTCGAAATTATTGAGTCTCGCTTGCTTATCACAAAACTTTATAACGGGAGGCTGTATCGATAAAAAAGACATTATGTGGTATCGTATAACACGTTTATTCTAGTCTTGTAATTCAGTTGTGCACACGGCGGTGAAAGGTGCACGTTGAATGCAACCAAGCAAGCAGGTAGGTTCATGCTCAATGTTTTGTGCTACGAGGACGACAAATTCGACGAGGCCGACACAGCGCAGCTACAGTGCAATCAATGAGCGCATATTGATCTCAACCCTTCACGGATTCTACACCTGCAGGGGCGGATCACTTGAGCATCAAACATAGATATCACGACTTGACTGAGAATATTATATTAAATTTTATGGATTACAAGAAACACTTTTTCTTAATGTTTTGAATTCAACTTTAATGTAACTTATTTATGTAATTAATTTATAATTAAAATTATATTATTAAAAATATTTAACATTTCTTAATTGCATTAAATATGAAAATTATATATATATATATATTAATATATTAAATAAAATCTTCGAATTTTATTTTAATTATAGTTATATTAATATTCAATTAAAATATGAAACAAAAATAAATTAAATATTAAATGATAGAAAGTATGAAACATACTTCAAATTGTTTCGTCTTATCGATACTTGAATTTCGATATTAACTTCGATATCTCGCATATGCAATTGTTTAATGTTATTGGGCATTAAAACAAAAAGTATTGGTTTATTTCTGCGTCAAATTGTCAATTAGTCGTAGAATTACATTGAATTTTCTTAGGTAATGTTACGTAAAATAAAGTAAGCATAAGAAGTTTCATAGTCTAACACGAGCGCCGGAAGTTTCAAAATGATTGCGGTAACGGGTGTAAACTACCAAATTCTTTCATTATTAATGAAAATCAAAACAACTTCTAAGATATTTTTATATAAAATTAATATTTGGATTGATTAATAAAAAATAATTCTTTTAATACAAAAGTGTTTGATCATTGTGATGACGAAAAAATTATCATTTTAATCGGCTATATAAAGGAAATGAATTTAGGCGCGCTAAAATAAAGTTGCCTAAAAGGCCGCAAGATGTCAAGTTGGTCGGTACCGCGAGCGAACAAAAGAACGGGATTGGTCGCTTCGAAAGTAGTGCCAGACATGTGTTTCGTTTCCCGCCTCGTGGGTTGTTATTGTGTGGGGGCCCCGCCAGTCCGGTGAGTCGAGTGTAGAGAGCATAGGGCCTAGGCCAGAATCGAACCGCCGTTGGGTTGGCTCCTCGGTACGGTGGTGGCTCTGTCCGACTGGTGACCGACCGTGGTCCGTCCGTCATATTCCCGGTTTGAAAGCAAGGTTGCGACTAGTTGTTGCGACGCAGGAAGGTGTAGTGATCTGTGTACGGAGTTACAAACGGGTTTGCCGGCCATGGAGAAGCGGGTAGAGCTCGAAAAACGGGGAAGGAACCCCGGTGAAGTAAGCCGAACCCCACTTATTTTATTGTACTGCTTTGCTCGACACGGGACGAT